AAAAACCAAAGAGAAAATGAGAAGGTGAGGTGAAAGAGGACAGAAGCCAAAGTATACAGAGCAGTACTAATGAATGTGCGTTTACGAAGAAAAGATAATGCTTTTCTGCGTCAGTGCAATGCAAAGACGAGCAACATAAATATTACTAATTAAAGACCTTTTAAGCCATACAATAACAAGCTCGCTTTAAGCACAGTTAGACCCTGGAAAAGACCTAGGGGAGAGGAGTGATTGCTTTTCAAGTGCATCATTAACACACTTTGTGTATGTGTATGTGAGAGAGAAAAGAAAAGAGGGTACTTTGGCACACACGCTTACAAGTTACAAGAGGGTTCTTTAAGAAACAAGCTAAAGAGAAAAAGAGAGAGAATGAATTGAATGAACCTTGAGAGAAGTGAAGACTGAAGAGGAAATAAAACTCGTGGCCCCCAAAGGAAGAAGAAGGTGCCGAAAGAGGACATGAAGAGGCATTTATATCTTTGCTTTCTCTCTTTCACGTGCCCTATCTAACAATGCTTCTACTGCTTTTCTTTTTTAATCATCTTCTATTACCAAAAGGTCACTCTCCTAATCCACCTTAAGACACGAGCTTATCTCAAAAGCCAAAGGGGACCCTTTTTCACGTTTGGTTTTTTTTTTTCCTTCATTCATGTTTCCTTTTTCTTGTTTCTCACTTATATTCAAGTTTATGGGGTAATTAGTCCCAAACACACCATGCACACGCGCCAAACACACTGATAGAACTTTGTCATTGTGGGTATTAATTAACTCCAGGTTTACTTTATAAAAAAATTATTATTCTTACTAGTCATGGCACATAGCATCACTTTATGTATAATTTTTTTATAAATACTTTTTAGTAATTTTTTTCAATTCGACTAAGAAGTATCCTAAAATACAACATATAAAAACTAATTATAATAAATTTATGTGTTGCATCAGTATTTTTGTAAAATTAGATAAAATACAATGACTGTGTACAATATTTTATTTTTTTAATTAATCAGCATAAATGTTAATATCTACGTAACATTAAATTTATATTAAGCTCTTAATACTTTGTGCAAATAAAACAAATACCTAGTTAATTGCTTAGGTTGTTTAGTTTTTTTTGGTCAACTTACGATGTTTAGTTTAGTTGTGTTTCCATTGTTTAGTGACTTCATCAAAGGTCCAATCTCAATCTATTGGTGAGCCAATGCATCTAGTTCAAATTAAAGGATCCTAATTAAGCTTCTCCAATATCCATCAGATCCTATAATCTGTGCCAGTTTAATTTAACAACTATACTGTGACTGGATCTACTGCAGTTGTCCTGGTTTTTGCCGTGGATTTGCTGATGGCAAAGAATCTTGTGTGTTTGTCTTTCATCTTTCACTTTCATAAATTACGTACTGTGTATTTATTGTACCAGAAAACATAAATTCCGGGCTCGGAATTTGCCTTGTTTATGTGTATTGCTTATGTAGTAGGTAAGTGTACAGGGTAGCACAACAAAAGCAGTGTATAACGGTCTCTGCTGTTAAGAGTTGTTAAATGTTAAAATTGACACCAGTAAAATGCAATTTCTTTTTATTTGTCTGTGAATTGAAGTAAACTTAAATTTAATGTAGAAATTATAATTAACAGCATTGAAATAATCATAAATTTATAAATATTTAAATATAAATTTAAATATTTAAAAACATATAAACGTTAATCTATTTAAAAAATATTTAACACAAAATCAAACATGCAATATAGATATTTAGGTTGAGGTAAAACAAGCAAATAAGAAATAGATTATCGTTATGTACAATGAGTTACTGAACCACAACAAATTTGGACATTATCTCCATGATTGATAGCACAGCACTTGCATTACAAAACAGAAGAAAATAAATACAAAAACATAAAAATAGATTATTGTAATGCATACAATAGATCACCCAAGATATATGGTGGAACATAGGAAAATTAACTCAATTATCTTTTGGTGCCAGCTAAAAATATATATTTTGTAATATAAAATCAGATAATAATTAGTTAATGCACACTGTTTGTCATTAATTTTGACAAAAGTTAGTTAAATTGGTACTAGTTTGCTGGGAAAGAAGCTTACTTGTAATTTAATTTGCTGTTGCCTTTTATGATAGCACATTCACGAAAGTTTAATAGATAACTCATAACACAACAATATCTGTGGGTATAATAAAATAACTAAATATTAAATAATTAATCTTAAAATTCTTTTATTTTCTATTGTTTCTATTATTAAATAGTTACCAGACGAAATTAGATTTTTCACCAATATGGATATATAATATTGGCTGTCAAAATGATCCAACTGGAACTTGATAACTAAAAAAGATGAGTACACCAAATTGACGTAATTTTTGTTGACCTAGTCCAATACACAGAGAGGCAAGGTTTAAAAGATATCAAAGTAAGTACCACGTTTAGAATTGCTAATTTGAGAGCAATTAGTAAAACTTTTTTTATAAGGAAGTGTAGTGAAATATTATCCAAAACAAATGAATATTTATTCTAAGTAACATTTATCTGCATTTTTTACACTAAATAGTTTAATTCATTAAATATAAGTTGACTATGTAAATTATATAAAATTTCTATTGTAGCAGTAAAAATAAACATAGCACACTGCTTCAAATAATTAATTCAACTGACATAAAATTGGATTGGACTGATAATTTGTTAGTCTATATTTTTAATAAAGCTCGTTCTTCTGCATGCCCCACCTAAGTATGATTTGGTCTGATTTTACATCTTGATGATCTCTATGTTTCGTATTTTTTCATGAATCTGACCATGTAAATTAAAATTCACAATATTATTTTGTCCTCTCATCTTCATTGCTGCCTAGTTCATGAGATTGATATTTATTCTTTTTGTCTTTTCATTTTTTAATCGATGCATTTTATTTCAAGTAGAGCAGTTTTCACTGCTCTAGTTTTGTGCTTCATGTTTCCATTTTTGTAAATATAAATAAAAATATTAGTTTAATGTCTTCTGTAAAAAACATCCATAAAAAAGACAACGCTGGAACTGTTTATGTTTTAAAAAAACCAAAACTAAAAAAATTATTTAGCAAAAGCTTACCAAGTTGTCTGTTGCAAAAACTGTCATATGCCACTCTAATGACGTTACTTGAAGTCATGGAAGCACTCTATTTCGTCACATTCAATAATATGAAATTAGATTCCAACAAGTTAAAGTAATTCTTTTTGATAGATAAAGGGCACAAAGATATTAAGTTTGTATAAAAATTATAAAGTATTTGGAGAAAATGTATAAAAGGACGCATTGGTACTTAAAACTAATTAATGGTATTGTTGAATCCTTATCAAATAGAATATCATTTCAGACAAGTAAAATTATTTATTAATTTTATATATGAATACTTTCTAATATATGTATTTTTTCAATAAATAAAACAATGTTAAAATAAAGGAATACAAAATATCAAGTACCAGGACAAGCATTATCAAATCATTGACATTTTGTTGTACCACTTATTTATTGTTGCACTTAATAATTGTTGGTGAGAACAAACATGTATGAATTGTTTTATGTTTAAGAAAATTTTAAAAATTTTATTTTAAGCTATTGTTTGATATAATATTTTTGGACTTCTCTTTCTTCTGCTTTAAAGTAAATTTTTCTTCAATTAGTTTTTACTAAACTGCTATTTTGAACCTTTGTTCATTAAAAATATTTTCTTATTTTTAAGAAGTTTCTTTTAAATATTGTTTGAACTGATTTTACCTTCTAGAATGATCCAAACATTGGGACAATGCTTTTTCTCCTAAAAACATAAGTAAATTAAAACTAAATATAATTACGTGTTTGAAGAAATGCATTTAAGTAATAAAAGCATCCTGCTATCCTGAAAAATAAAAAATAAAATACCAAATATTATATGTTTATATTATTACAATTTGTTTAATATGTACAATATTGCACTTATATATGAACTATTTTTTTTATTAAAAAGTTGTAATTATTAATAATAGTAATGTATTTAATTATATTGAATATTACAATTTATAATAAAAATTTACTTTATATATTTTCTTGGACGAGTAAAAAAATTGATATTATTATACAACTAAAGTTTATGACTATAAGTATGCAATCTAAAATTAGCAGCACGAACAAAGTAATTAACTTCTATATCTTACTGGTTATATTTTTTGGCATAGATCGCATTTGCCCACTAAATTGAAACTTGACGAAACAGAAACTATAAGTATTCCTTAAAGTGAAAACCTTAAGAAACTATTTATACATATTTAAGATATGTGGGAAGGAAGCATAAAGCTCAAGTTCAAATTCAATAAAGTGAGAGCTTTCATAGAAGCTACATACACTTACAAGTCATAATGCCTAGTTATTTAAATGGTTAATTGGTTACAAACAGAAGAGCTAAGTGAATTTTTCGAACTTTATTTAAGTATATAAAATGAAAGCCCTAATCTTTATAACTTTTTTTGCCACTATTATAATAAAAAACCACACCCTAATAAAACAAGCTTAAAATGAACTGTCATGTGATACATAAATTGCATAATTGTGACAAAAAAAATCACATAAAAACTTTCATGTTAATGTAAAGATAGTCATCAAAATGATATCTGACAAAGACACAATCTAAACGAAAGAATTCATAGATATGGGTTGGAAGGACTATCTTAGGAAAAAAGGGAAAGATATGGATGACACCTTTGATTACAGACTACAGTATATAGCTGAGTGCTACTCAACAACATTAATAATTTTATTCCAAAAAATAAAATAACAACAAGAAAAATTACACAAGTGTTACATGCACGCGCCTTTCCCTGTGAGATTGAGACGTAAGTGGTGTAGGTTTTGTGGGGTGAGAAATGCAACACGCGCTGAGAGTGAGAGACACGCGCAGAGCCCACAAGTAATGAGTGGCGTCATGTGAGTTTAGAGAGGGTCCATAAAATTACAAAAACTAGAGAACAAAAGTCTTTATGCTCTTCCCTTCTTCTCTCTCTTTCTACTACCACTTCTCTATTCTTATTATCACACTCTGATTATTGGAGAGAGAGAGAGGTTAGAGAGAACCCATCTTGGGTTACACTTTCTTTTCATAGGAAGCCAAAGTGAGAGAAAGAAAAAGAGGGAAAAGAAAAAAAAAAAAAAAGAGTTTTGTGAAGGAAGGAGGAAGAAGAAGATTAGAAGATGATGATGTTGATGAAGAGAGAGAAAGGAGGGCAACAATAACAAAGAGAAGGGAAAAAAAAATATAGTGAAAATACATAACATAGAGATAGAGAGAGAAAGAGAGAAAGGTCGTTATTGCATTTTCTCATTCACTGCTCACTCTGCACTCTACTGGACCCTCCAGAAACTGAGTTCTTTCTTTCTCTCTCTCTTTCTCTCACTCACAAACCAAAACTTTTTCTTGCTGTGGAAAAAGCCAAAGTGACAGTAGTAGTAGCCACAATAGCAGCAGCAACAACAGAAGAAGCAGGAAACAGCAGAAACAGAAGAAGAAGAAGAAGCAGAGAAGTTGTTGGTTTCCCTTTGCTTTTTCATAGAGAGAGAAAAATCTAAGTCCCTCATATTCATACAACAACAACATCTACCAAAAACTCTTTCTCTGCCACAGACCCCACAACAAGAATAACACCCACATACAAGATCTATCTATCTCTCTACCTTTATTCATTCACACTAAGGCTTATAATATAAACATTTCTATTATTATTTTGTTTGAGACTTCAAACACCTTCAGTTGTGGCTACTACAAGGAGGTTACCTTCAGATTCTGGTGCTTTTGCAGATTGGGCAGCCACATCATCATCCTCCGCTGCCCGTCCTGCCCCCGTCGACGACCTCTCCCTCGGCTTCAATGCGGGCCCCACCGCTGCCGCCACCGGACCCACCGCCGGAATCTGGCAAAACCAAACTAGGTCTATTAATTACCCTGAAATGGGCATGTTTGTGGTGGCACCTGCTTCGTCCTTCCACCACCACCACCACCATCATCCACCGCAACAGCCTCACGACCCTCTCATCGCCGGCGATTCCCTCAACCCCGCCACTGCACTCGGCGTCGGCGTCATCCCCCTCCTCACCGCCACCCCTTGTCTTGAATCTGACAACATCCTCGGGAACCGTACACGAGGTGCTGGAATTCAGTTTTGGCAAGACCAATCACCCCAACAAAGCCACTACTTGAAGAAGCAACAGGGTCTTCTAGAACATTCCGGAAACATGGTTCAGGGTGGTGGTGGTGGAGTATCTGCTTCGGGTGGTAGTAGTAGTGGTGGAACTACGTGCCAAGATTGTGGAAACCAGGCTAAGAAAGATTGTGCTAATAGAAGGTGTAGAACTTGTTGCAAGAGTCGTGGCTTTGATTGCCCTACCCACGTGAAAAGCACGTGGGTCCCCGCCGCACGCCGGAGAGAACGCCAGCTCATGGTGGCGGCCACGGCCGCGGTTGCTGGCTCTAGCGGTTCAACTTCTGGTACAAAGAAACCTAGACTCATTGCTTCACAAACTACCACAACTTCACATACTTCCACTTCTAACACCACTCCTCCTAGGAGCTTTGACACTGGCTCTAGCCATCAAGGTTTGTTTTGTGATTTTATTTGTTAATTAATAAGCTCGCGCGAGTGTTCATGAACTCATGCATATCATGATTGTTTGGGGTTGATGTTTGAAGGTCGTTGTTTAATTGGTTGAATTGTTTGCAGATGCGAGTTTCAAAGAGTCTTTACCTGGACAAGTACGTGCACCCGCGGTTTTCAAGTGTGTTAGAGTGTCACCAATGGAGGATGGGCAAGATGAGTTTGCGTATCAGGCTGTGGTGAAGATTGCTGGGCACGTGTTTAAAGGGTTTCTTTATGATCAAGGGGCTGAGACTAGGGATGTGTATCCAAATCTATCTGAATTGCATTTGGGTGGTGGTAATGGTGGAAGTGGAAGTGGAGGGAGTGGTGGTGGTGGAGTTGGGAGAAATGGGGTCTCTTCTTCATCACCAATGATGGATCCTTCTGATGTTTATGCAGCTTCAGGTGGGGGTTTACTAGGGGGTTCTTCAACCTATGGCAATCCAATAAATTGAACTGAACTGAACTGTCTTTCCGAGTGCAAGATATTAGTAGATGGGCTTGGAGAGGCTGACGTACGTTGTAGTCTAAATTTTTAATTTTCTTTTAGGCTTGTATCTTTATTGCACATGTCACTCTTTCTGCCATTTTTCAACTTGATTTTGGTTTCATTCTTTATCGCCCAAATTGCCTTTGTCATTGCATGAGATCATCATTGAATGACAAGGGAGCCTCATTATCTAACTGTTAGAAATAGTGTCTTTTGTATTAAATTAACTGAAAGTGCAAAGCAAAGGTGGATAAAACTTGTTTTACCTCATTCACTATTTTGAAATTTGATTTTTATTAGCATTTATATTGCCATTATTTTCTACCTTTCTTTGAAGCTAATGATTTTTTGGTTTGCATTTACTCTCCTTTATGTCCATTGTTTTAGATTTAAATTTAACAAAGGTGAAATCTACAGTGTTATATCCTCGATCAAAATTTACAGCATAAAGTATATGATAATGATGGATTTATAAATCTTATTATTTTATGAAGAATGTTATCGTTGTACGTTCATAGCTTTTGTGTGCCAAATGTATTTTTCAGCACGATATACTAATACTTGGTATTTTGGCATGTTTTATTTTTATTTTTCCTGACAAGACGTAATACAGTATTTCCTTGTTTCACATGCAACATTATAGTCATCTCTTGCATCTTATAGCTTAGCTGGTTTTAAATTGTGTAGAATAAAATAAATGTTGATTTTACAAGTAGCTGCTGCTTTAGACTTTAGGCATGGGAAGTGGTTGTAACGTCACCATCATTGAATGTCTGTCCTTTTCGTCCCAGTTTATTGCTCATCTCTGATGCGTAAGCAGCCTGCAAAGTTTCTGCATTCATGAAGACATGATGTACTCTTTCGTGTTTGGAATTTGGAATTCAGACAATTGTTATTACCAACCCTTTCATCTTCTAGTCTTTAAGGCTAGTTTTGCATTGTTTCTACTCAAAATCGAGGCTGGTTAATTCTTCTATTGCTCCATGTTGGTATCCATGGTGCTAAATTTCAAATACCAATGAGTGCAGCGTAGTTCTTTACTTTTAAGTTAATGACACATTGCTCTCCTTCACAATTTAGACCCACTTGTGATTTAAAATAGCATTCCTTCTTTTAAAGAGTTTAATAATAATATTTGTAATAATATAATTTAGCATGTTGATATCCTAGAAGTTGCCTGGTATGTCATTTCTTCTTATATGGATAATTGGTGTTGGGGAATTGCCTATTCAGCTTTTATATAGTTTAATTGCTGAGGAAGCTGCAGATGCGTGTCTTTTTTTTTGGCTAGATTCTTAGTTACCGTTTCCGACCATTGATAAACTAATGAATGATTGTCTCTATTCGTTGCATATTTAGATTATCTTTTCCTGCACATGTTACCCCCTTTTAGTTGTCTGAACATATTTTATGTGTAGGACGATTGTGTCATGTGGATTGCAATACAATTTTTATATATATGTTGCTTTGTCTTTTGTTTGCCCTATACTATTCTACTATTGTAGAGTCCTCAAAGTGTCAATAAATTGCTTGTGACATGCTATGATATTTTATTAACTAATTGGTATTGAGAATTCAATCGCATTTATTTGTGTCCCAGTCCTTACTTTTCTTTGTATTGTGAGATTTCTTGTCTCATAATGTCGAGCTGGCCAACACTGTCTATCATGTCAATGAAAAAGTAATCATTGAGTTTACCTTTTCACTGATGTAGAATCAATTACCCTGTCTTTAGTTAAGTCCATACAAGGGTCGTGTTGGAAAATTCAACCATTTGTTTGTGCCCTAGAGCTGGCATTTGACATGTTGGTGGGACATTGTTTTAGCTTATTTGTTGCTTGCTATTTGTTTTTCTTTCCTCGGATAGTATGTGTAAAACTGTGATCCTTTCAGCACTGTCATTTGTATCATTCTCCAATGTGAATAATTGGATCACACTCTTGTGTAATTTTCTATCTTTCTTTGTCTGGGGGTCCTCCTTTTCATCTTTGGGTGTTTGTGTTGTTAGAACCTATATATCATGCAGTAGAACTTCACATGATTTGTGTAATAATGTTGGTACATTCAGGTACATGTCTCTGTTGGTGGGTACACTACCCTTGAATTACTCACATTTAAGTACACTTGAATTTTATGTCTGTCTGGTCTTGTAATGTTCTGCAAACAAATTGGTTATGCTCCCTTTGCTTTGTTGCTGCTGTGATCAATTATCTTGTCTTCATTTGTCCCAGATTTTCTTCTCTTTTGTAGGATTGACCCCAAGATGTTTTTTTTACTTCTCTCCGTATGCATGTGTGGTCATTGGATATGGATTTGGATTTGATGGTTGTTTATCATGTTGTTTTGCCTTAATTGCTCTTTCTTAGTTCAACTTCTTGACTTACATTGCAGCATACCCACCATAGGTTTGTTTATGTTTTGAATTATAATTTCTTTATGCTTTTGTGCATCAAATTATTTCTTCAACCTAGATGGCTCCGCCAGAGTTCCAAATTGCGCATGTCTATATGTTTAAGAGTGATTGGTTATGTAGGAGTTGGTGAAAAGTGATTTCAGTTCCTTGCTTGTATTACTCCTTTGTTTTTGATTTTCATCCCCTTCTCCAGTTTTTCAGTATTTGGAGGTTTGAAGAGCGGCATTCATACTATCAAATGGTTTGTGCTGTGTTTTTTCGTCTTTTTGAGTTTTCGTGATGAGAATTGGTGTGGTGTTTGAGTATATTCATATTTTGGCAGGTGCAGTGCTTACATTGTGATTGTGCGAATTAGTCGTATAATTTTTTTTATGAGCGGCGTTTCTTTCATCTTTTAGTACTTTTGCACTGTATACGTGGGTGTTGCGTATTCCTCTCTAATTTTGCCAGGACATAGGTCTAACATTTTGAAATGGTTTTTATGAATTGCTTAGGTGATAGTGTGTTATAGTTGTGCTGTTGATTATTAAATGAGAAATGTTAGAATCATACACTTTTCAATACTCTTGAATACGCACTCAACTTGTAAGTCGATCACTTTTTAAAAGTTATATTTTGATATTTTAGAAAATTGACTAATCATCTGAAGTTTGCTCTAGAGTATGTGTAAAAGAGTGTGTCGCAAACAATTTTTCTGGTTAATTTATGTGATTCAGTTTACTAATTTATTCAGAATCGAGGGTGGTTAACATAAATTGTTTTGCCCCTAGTATTTATTTGAAATGAATTGCTTTCAATTTATTAGGTAATTCTGAATGTGTCCAACATGAGAAGGCGTGTTAGTATATACGCATTTAAAATGGAAAAATGGATATGAAATATATACCTGTTAGTATCTCATCATAATGGATATTTCCAGCGTGTTGCTAAGAAAAAAGAAGCTTTATTCTATTTCAGGTTTGACTTCATGTTGATATTGATGACTCAATGGGTATTTTCTTGGAAAATATAATTGGCGTTGTTTAGTACATCAGTTATACTGTCATACTTTTAGGTTTTGGCAAAATTTGATAAATATCTTTTGGTTGGTAGCATTCTTTTTTATGTTTCCATATTTTTGGCCGTGGCGGGGGCGTTGGTTTTGCAGCTTGTCTATTTTTGTATGTAGACAGAGACTAGTTTGGTATGTTTTATCAAATTAGATCATACACAGTCTTCTGTGTTACTGCCCAGCTGTTAATTTTGGGTACCATGTAGGGTTAGAGGTGAATTGAATTGATTATTATGAGCCTCTTCTATTATCAATTTGGACAGGATTAATTTCTGTCTTTGAATATGGTTGAAATATGTTTTGATTGATCTTAGTCTTGAATTTTATGTTGAAATGTGTGTTGTGTACATTAGTCACTTGATGAAAAAAAATTAAGGTTTTAAAGTAATCAATTTTCGGTTTGTTTGGTTTCAGAGTTGTAACTTAGGTTTTGTGACGTATCTTTTGATTAGATTGGCATGCACATTCCAAGATTCCGTTCAGAAGGGTATGCTGTTAATTTTGAATATAGCAATGCTTCGACTTTTTTGTGGTATTCGTTTTCGTTTGAAAATCTGCTGAGGATTTTATATGATTTCAGCTGAAAATGTGTTCGATAGTAGTATTTGTTAATTGCTATGATCATATAAAGTCACTATGTGCAGTACATTCGTGGGGCATTTAGTGATTTGCACTAGTTTAGTGGAAAATTTACGAGAAAACCCAAAATTAATGTGATTTGTGATTGTGCTTTGCGTTCTGGTGGGTGGGTGCATATATATATATATATATATAAATCGGGTAGCATATTGAGATAAATTTTAGGTTAATGGAAAAAGTAATAAAGTCAAAATTGTATACAAACTTTTAATTAATTGTAGACCATTTTTGGGCTTTTAAATTATGGGTCTTTTATTTTGAAAGAATTAAATCAGAAGTTTGTAGTAAAAGTGATTATTCTATAACACTGTAATTTATTTAATACTTAATATTGTAAAATAATTGAAGTAATATATAAAGTAGTGGTTATTTTAAGCCATAATATTCTCTCTGTCTCGTGTTATAATGTTATTTTCATTTTTGAAATGTTATTTTAAAAAACTGAGAATGCATTGATTTTTCAGTAGTACTCTTTATTGGTATTTTATTTATATAAATAAATCAATTGACAATTATGTTATCTTTTAACTGTGGTATCTTTGTTGGAAATTTATTTGATGTATGTCAATAATTTATGTAATAAATATTATTTTAAAGATAATATGGAATGAAGGTAAAATATGTTTTATGCACATAATACAAACTTGCAATTGACAAGTTGTGGCATTTCCATTCTAGCTCCAATGCTGGAAAGGCTATGGATTTGAGAGAGAAGAAATTTTGCTTAATGTGTTCTATTATGACCAAAATTTCTTGCTTTTCCTAAGCAAAAGTTTGCAGTCGGCAGGCATGATTGTGGGCATTTCACAAAATGCTTTGACATCAAAATGAAAAGTCGACCATTTCCAATGCAAAATTTGCTTTAAATAAGCAGTTTTATCATATATGGGTATATGGGCAAGGCCTCCATATATGGTAGGAAAGGACAATAAAACCTGCACAAATTATAATTCACACCTAAACACTAGGTAGTCCTGTCCATCAATTGCCATTACCAATGTTCTTATGCCACCTCCATGCCATTCGTACGATAAAGAAACAACTAGATGATGAGAGGTGTTAAGCTTTTCAGCAATGTTAATGGGAGACAAACTACCTTTCACGTGAAATTATATAAACATGGCATATGATTTTTTTAAAAGAAATACTAATCAAATATTAAAAA